GAGGTAGGAAATATTCCTGTCCCACGTACAGGTAGCTTTTCCCAGGCTCAGGCCATGCTGGCACTCACATGAACTGCGTATAGAGAGCCTGTGCTGGTGTCCGGTGCACTGACTCCTGCAGCTTCCTCTCAGAGAGGCTGGATCCTCTGCACCCTGAACCATGGCAGGGTGGCGTGCACAGGACAAGACTGTCTCTCTTGTCTGTATTACTTACTGGAGTCTTTGTGAGGTGTCGTGTTTTGTTTTGAGACAGAATCTCACCGTGTAGTGCAGGCTGGTCTTGAGCTTGCCTGTGTAGCCCAGGCTCACTTCAAACTCGCAGTGATCCTCTTGCCCCAGCCTCCCGAGCGCTGGGGTTAAGCATGCGCCACCACACCCATCCCTGCTGGAGTCCTTGGAGTCAGATTTTAACTCTAATATTTTATTTTTCTTAGAACATAATATATAAATAATTTTTTTCTTTTTTATACAGGATCTCACTATGCAGCTTGGACTCTCAATAATCCTCCTGCTTTCAGCCTCCCCAGCACTGAGATTACATGCCCAGTCTTGGTTACTGGCTCAGCCTGACATGTGGTGCTGGGGATTGAACCCTGGTCCTTGTGCTTGCCTAACAGGCGCTTAGTCCGCTGAGCTATCTCGCTGGCCTTAGTAGTTAATATTTTTAAGCAGAGGTTTTTGTATATAATAAATTTGCAGTTTTATTGTAAGACCTGCCTAGTATTTTGTGTGTGTGTGTGTGTGTGTGTGTGTGTGTGTGTGTAACTGGGGATTGAACTCAGCCCCTTCCACTTGCCAGGGAAGCACTTATTCCACTGAGCCATATCCCCAGCCCAGACCTGCCTAGTATTAATTAAAACTTTGAAAACTAATCCAAAATAACATTTATATGCTGTTGAAAATTTAAAAGACATTAAAAAAAAAAAAGAAAGTTGGCCCATTTTCCCGTCACTCCGAGACCCTGTTAAACGTGTTCTAGTGTTGGGAGCACGTTTTCCTGTGCATACTCACATACATGAGATGATGGCAGTGTTGTCCTGAACGCTGGCCCAGCATTTTCTGCATTAAAATGCCCTGTAAACGTGAGTAACTGCACAGTATTCCGTCACATGGGTAAGTTAGCATACTTGACCATTCCTCTGTTGAAAATTTAGTTTGTTTCTGATTTGTTCCTATTGTAAAAGACTACAGTGAAAAAACAGAG